ACTGGGGCATGTACCTTTGGAGTACCTTTGCACTCCACGGTCCGGGTAAAGCCAGTATTTACGTTCAACAATAATTGTTCAATGGTAACACAGCCTTCGAGACCCACAGGTGAGAGGACAGTGCCACAAGGGGATTTTTTAGAGAGGAAAGTTCCACAAGAGGATCCTTAAAGAGTAAGCTTGTATATGAACGGTGGGCAGCTGCTCTTAATCCTACTCTCAGGTAGGATTAAGGTATCACAGGAAACAGGGACCTCACTCTCACACCTCTAATGAACAAATAAATACTACAGTATATTAATGGGGCTCTGTTTCAATCATCTTGCATGGGGGATTTCAGTATCCATATGTCCCGCTATTCTTGCTCCAGTTACTGATGTAAGGTGCACAACTTTTAAACACTTTTAATATAAAAATGTAAACAATATTTAATTTTTAATCGCTCAGTTTTAAACCATTGGCATTAACATAGTCTGTTCCTGTACCCACCTATGTTAAACAAAAATATATTTTTTTTTACTTCTCAGTAGGTAAATATAAACAAATGGTTGTCGGCATTGAATAGCCAAGTAAATAAGAGAAATCAAACGAAGCAAAGAGAAGAAAAGTAGTGGTCTCACTTGAAGTTGCCTCACACTGATTCAACCTTTGACCCTCCACCTAAATATTGTGTTCTTCTCCCTTACTCGAAAACACATCGCTATCTTTGGAATAACCAAACTCGACCGGACCAAAGGAATGATAAGAGCGCAATACGGAGCCGTGTGGGTAAATTAGTGCCCACATGTTGTCCAGGAGGGTGAGAAGGTTCAGGCAGTGACACTCCGACACCTTTGCCCTGAAACGCGTGATATCGAGGACTTACACATTGCCACATACTGTTTATAAACAACTCCAGCGGCCAGTTATCCAGATGGCGAGGCTCCCGGGCCAGCTGGTGGCGCAGCCAGCACTACGCAGCCGGCTCTACGCAGCCGGCACTACGCAGCCGGCACTACGCAGCCGGCTCTACGCAGCCGGCTCTACGCAGCCGGCTCTACGCAGCCGGCTCTACGCAGCCGGCACTACGCAGCCGGCACTACGCAGCCGGCACTACGCAGCCGGCTCTACGCAGCCGGCTCTACGCAGCCGGCTCTACGCAGCCGGCTCTACGCAGCCGGCTCTACGCAGCCGGCACTACGCAGCCGGCACTACGCAGCCGGCTCGAGTAATGGTTGGACTCTGCGAACAACTAAACCCAACCTGCTCTTATTTTTCTTGGTATATCGACCGCGGCATAAATTATATACAAATGAATATTCCTATAAAAGGGGTAAAATTTTATTTTTCAATATAAAATGTATAAAATTAGTTTGATAATTCACAGTGCGAAGATAAGAACCGGTTGCTATGTTCACATTTGTTATAAATGTAACTGCAGAGGCTAATTATCCTATCATATCCAATTCTAAGTTAAGATAACGTAGCCTGGTTAACATTATCTAACCTAAACCTCACGCAATGCATTTATCAATATATTTTAATATATGCTAATTGTAGACGCGTTCGAAATTCTTAAAGGCTCTTTTAGGAAGCTGTCAGGACATGATATGGAAACTATCATGTTTGATTATTCCTCGCTGTCAATAACAGAGCAGCAGCTCCTACAGCACCAGGTCAATCCTAGACATGAAGCCTGATGCTTCTTTATGCAAGCCTCGGCCAAAGGGCGAGGCTTGCAGTAAGTTCAATGGTTAGTATCACGTCTTCTTTTGGGATTCAACCTCAGTGAGGATCTCCCTCAAGAGTGAGTTTGGCATAAATATTTATTTGAATGTTAATTTGGTTATGAAAAGAACAGGTTATTCAGAAAACATGAGGTTTGTTTACCCTACTCTATAACAAATATGGTTGATGTTAGATTACTTATGTATAAAGGCAAAAATTTCAGATAACACCCATTGGATAATATGCACGTTTAACAGACGACTTAAAATAATTTAAGACAAGGCTTCAACGTTCTTCGACTTAACAGTAAACAAACTTGATTAACAATTCGCCGTCTCTACTGACGGGAATTGATGGGACAACGACGAGGAGCATTTTCATCACCTGAATTCCTGAAACATGATAATTAATGTATCCGCAGCAATTTAGTCATATCTGGTTGCTATGAAACCTTGCAAGGAATCAACACAGATGTGAGTAACATCCATTGAATTCCTTTTGAGCTAAACGTCTCATTGTAAGACAAGTAAAGTTACAATACATTTGAAAAATAAGATCACATATAATTGCTACGTCAGCTTATCGTTGCTTACCAGCATGATGTAAAATGTTCAATATTACGTTCGCCGAGGTATATGAGATTTTTTAAATCCCTGTCATATAGCACTATTAGCAGGCAAATAATAGACATGTCTTAAGTAATGGAGACATTACTTGGAGTCACAAGTAATAGTACACTTTATAAAAACAAATCTGTTTGCTAATCAGTTGTATGAGTCAATTTCAGACATTCAGTGGGTTTATTTTCATGAAGATATCATTAAACTATTTTGATTTTGGAAACCTCCCCCAGAAACAGAAATCAGACATTTGTTATGTTTTCGCATGTTTCAGTTCTCACGATTTGTCATGGAAATCATTCATCGCCACCTGCAGGGACAGTCTTCCATGTATGTCAGGAGAGACTCACCTCACAGGCCAAGCAAAAATATCCTGGAATTGTCTGGAGTCGAGGTTCGAATCACCAAGGACCCAATCGAATGAAATGTTATTACTGCAGTCTTTCCAGTAGGCGCATATATTACTGAATGTGATCAAAAGGGTGAGAGAAATTATTCTAGCACGAATCTGTTTTATTTTTATTTACATTCTTTTTTTCACTTGAGAATGAAATTGCAATATTAGCTCTCCAAAAGTTCCTTTTCACAATTTTATTTAGTCTGACAATAAGAGTTAACGAAACATATCTTTTAGTACCTTTGTCAAAGGCAGAGTTGGAACGATTTCAAATTATTTTGGTGTGTGTACCTCGAGGAAATAAGGAAGATGAGCCGCCATGCTACTTCAGATACAACAGATTATTAAAATATTCCACAGGAATGTCCTCTCCACGGTCCCCATAACGAAACGAGAGAGAGGATCCTGATAAACATTATTGATAGAAATGTGACCCCCTCCCTAATGACACCAATCAGAAGACTGAATGAATAATTAAGCTTGTATGTTGACTCCCTTTTCACTTCGGTCCCTGTTGACGATGTTCTAGTAGTCCTGTAGGACAGATTTAAAACTTACCAAGAAACTTTGTCGCGATGGAGGAAACCTATCGCGACAAAGTTTCTAGGTGTGGATCCTCTACTTGTATGAACATGACACCATAAGGGTTCTAAAAAGTCTCTTCACTACATACTTCGAGTTGTTTGCTAAGTGTACATTATAAGACATTATAATTTATAATGTATATTCCTCTTTATAATGCATTCCTCTTAACATTGTAAGAAGTTAAGAGGAATACAAGCTGGATTTTGATGAACTTTATCCATCATCAATATAATAGTCTCATCCACTGTCACGATGATGGGCAACATCCAGAGGCGATCTCACGCCAGAGGCTTCGCAGGCCGTCGACAAATTCCTTCGGAGACCTAAGGCTTAGACTGTTGGGCACGCTTATAGTCAGCTTAGTGTTGAGTCGCTTAGCCAGTCTGTACGTTGGTGTAGATGTCTGGCTAATGCTGGAAGAAAGCGGATTACCAGGTTTGTGGGTCCTGACATCTGTACATCGAAGCTTATACTCTCCGGTGGCTTTAGACACTGGGAAGTCAAGACCTTTGGACATTAACAGCTTCAATAAATCTACCTTAGTTTTTAGTTCGATAGTAGTATCCATAGTGATCTTTTGGAATTCAGGTTGGTCAGAATGAGGTCTATATTCTCAGTATTTTCATACTTTTTTGGAGAATACCCTTTTCTGACAACTCTTTCCTTATTCTGTCCAAGGTTCTAAAATGCAGCTTTGAGATCAAGAGACATTAGTTCGAATTTTGTAGTCCGAGTTCTTCCTCCTCCTACAATAATTTCCGTCTATAAAGTATCCTTGGTGGTGATCTTCCTGTCTGTCTAAAGGTCTAATATGTCATTCCTTTGTGTCTCAAGGTCTAATATGTCATTCCTCTGTGTCTCAAGGTCTAATATATCATTCCTTTGTGTCCCAAGGTCTAATATATCATTCCTTTGTGTCTCAAGGTCTAATATGTCATTCCTCTGTGTCTCAAGGTCTAATATATCATTCCTTTGTGTCCCAAGGTCTAATATATCATTCCTTTGTGTCCCAAGGTCTAATATGTCATTCCTCTGTGTCTCAAGGTCTAATATATCATTCCTTTGTGTCCCCAAGGTCTTATATATCATTCCTTTGTGTCTCAAGGTCTAATATGTCATTCCTCTGTGTCTCAAGGTCTAATATATCATTCCTCTGTCTAATATGTCCCTTTGTGTCTCAAGGTCTAATATGTCATTCCTTTGTGTCCCAAGGTCTAATATGTCATCCAGCAGGATCTACAGCTCCATCTTCCGCGCCCTTTCCCTTGGTCTGGACATAACGTGACAGTTCATTCCTAGATTTAAGGGAGCAATTTTGTCCTCAGTGACACGGGCGAGATTCATGAAGCCAACTCTGGGTCAGAGAGTCTCAGTGGGACCTCCAAAGTCGTACATTTTTCGGTGGTCGTTGTGTCGGTATTATGAGTATGAGAGTCGGCTGGGTCGTCGAGGCTTCAGACGATACTGGTCGGGAGGTCGTCGTCGAAATGCTATTTTGCTAAATAAAAGAAATAGCCAATTGTATGCGTCATCTTTGCATTGCTTTAAATTTTCTGAGTAAACTGCGATATATATTACAATACACATTTGTATAGAGTATGATAAACTTACAGTAATAAACAACGATAAAGTTAAAGAATACAATGAAAAGTCGATTATACTTAAAATATTCAAAAAATTAAACAATTGAATACGAAAAACAAATGATTTATTAAAAATTTTATCATATTATGTGAATATACAATTAATAATTTGGGAAGAAAATAAAGTAACACTAGTTACATTCAAGCAAGATTTAAGGACAATTTCTCTTTTATTTAAATGATGCTACAAATTATAAATCCTTATTTCATCTTCTTAATTTCCTGCCATGTGTAATTATAATTTATTTTTAAGCAAAAGGTTTTTTTTTAAGATATCCGAGATATTCCATTTCTTAAAAATATTACCAGCTGAGGAATTTATTCACCTCAGGTACATATAATCAGCAACAAAGTCTCCCAAGAATTAGCACTTGAGTATGAGAATACAAATGTAGGAAGCCATCTGCAGAATACAGTTTATAGGCGAAAAGACGGTTTAGCGTAGATGAAGAGAGCTGATCTTGTCTACCAAATCATCAGAGGCATCCCAGCTACTCATCCCGAGGTCTCAAGGCTCCACGCTGAGTCCCTCTGCGGCCATTCATCATGGCACTCACCTCATCCTCCGTCTGTAAATGATTTACATTAGAAGCTCGAGGAATAACTTAAATCCCCCGAAAACGCTTACTAGTAAGAATAATGAAATTCTTGTTAAATATATCTACTAGATTATTTTTTACATGATATTTATTGGATCTGTAGTTTATTACTGTGCCTTACAAAATTTACTTCCCAACTTCTATTTGGTACAACCTAGAAGTACGAAGTGAAGGTGATTCTAGGTGCCCCAAGATGCACAAGAATCACTAAAGTGAGGTGAAGACCTGAAGCATCCTACTAGTATATAGAGAATCATTCAAATAAACATGACTTTTCTGCATTAAAGTCATGAGATGCCTGACATTTCCATTATCGCACAGAGACAAATTATTTTGTGTTCTTTTTTACACCAGTGATTGATGCTGGCCCCGCCAACCCACTCCCTGCCTGATGTGTGATTTGATAAAAAAAATGATCGAAACTCGTCACACTGAACTAATCTTAAATGCAATCTATCTTTGTCACTGACATTCCAATTTATCTGCAATTCCACTATGCAAATATAATACACAAACGCCACTAAGAAGTGTAATAAGACTCTTGCCCTTCTAAAATCTGTCTCAATCAAAAATGGAATCCAAAATTTGCCATTGAAGTAACCGATCCCAAGGCCATTTATATGGTCTAGAGTAGTTGCAAATAAGTTCAAACAAAATTTGAATTCCCTTTTTTATGCATAAGACAGAGACGGAATTCATCAGGAGAAAGCGCCTAGCCTGAATGAGTAAAAAAAAAAGACAATATTGCACTTAAAACCCAATAGGACGACAGACTAAAATCTGATATATGAAAAAGAATTAAAAGAATGCTGACAAGGATCACAGGGGTATAAAACATTGACCCTGTAAAAAGCGAGGTCGACGCTACACCGACCAATCCAAATGGTCACACCTTCAGATCACAAAAATATTAATTTCAGACCCAAAAATAAGCACTGCTGCATGTGCATTCGTGCCTCCAATACGTGCCTCCAATACGTGCCTCCAATACGTACCTCCAATACGTGCCTCCAATAGGTGCCTCCAATACGTGCCTCCAATACGTACCTCCAATACGTGCCTCCAATACGTGCCTCCAATACGTGCCTCCAATACGTGCCTCCAATACGTGCCTCCAATACGTGCCTCCAATACGTGCCTCCAATACGTGCCTCCAATACGTACCTCCAATACGTGCCTCCAATACGTGCCTCCAATAGGTGAACGTAAACTAACATACCAAGTCCCCAAGCTTGTTTATCTTCATGGTAAAGCTGATCTCTCCTCTCTCATACTTCTTGTTGTTGTCTTCGATGTGCTGTAAGTTTTCCTCGAACACTTTCTTGCGGTAACTTTCCTCCTCTGTGCTCTTGTACTTTTTGTCATACTCGGCCTGAGGGAAGTATCAGGAGCTAAACCAGTAGATAATATAATACTGTACTTGTAAAAAAAAATATGAGAATAGAGCCTGTTACCTAGCAGTAAAATAGGTACCTGGGTGTTAGTCAGCTGTCACGGGCTGCTTCCTGGGGGTGGAGGCCTGGTCGAGGACCGGGCCGCGGGGACACTAAAAAGCCCCGAAATCATCTCAAGATAACCTCAAGATAGAGAGGTGGGGGGGGGGGGGGAATGAGTGGTTTTTCTTCCTTGTTAAAATTATAATTTATGTACAGATTCTATCACACAAGAATATTTAAAAAACACAGTGTAAATTCATGGCACACCACCAAGCCAGAGGTTATGTTCTATAAACAGGAATCAATGTGATAATACATTGACTCATTTAATTAACACAACGCAAATTCAGATCCCAAATTAAAAAACGCAAGTTCGATATACATACATAAATTAACGACTTGGTTTAATTACAAATTTAAGAACGTATAACAGTTGTAAATGAAAATTGTAAACGTAGGTACATTCGACACATGGCTGCTGCAACAATGAACTACAACAATTTACAAAGTTACTTGGTTAAATAATAACGAAAGGAGGCACAATGTCATTTGAATAATAATGACATTAACACAAGTGAGGAGATAATAACAATGATTATAAACAAAAGTTCAAAACATGAAAAAAGACATATATATAGTACACTTAACTGTAAACAAACACACACAAACAATTACAAATTTCATTGTGTGACAATTGAAAAGTCAATAGCACTACACAGGGCAACAACGACGCTTCAGACTAACTGTCGTAACACTTCATTCTCCCAATCAGTAAACAACACTCAATTAAAAGCATTACACACACTCACTCACAATCACTAGTATAGTATAGAAACCCATTTCTAAAACCAGTGTTAAATTAACCCAACGCCAGAACAATCCTGAGTCACACTCACCTTCACTCGACACACTCCTCTGTGAGTCAAGTACTCAGTTCCCCTTGGGAAAAATGAGTAATCTATCACAAGGTATAATGTTGCCTCCACTCCAAAATAACTCCAAAAGTCTCACAAAGGTATACCTCTTCAAGCTATCAATCCACACAAAATACACAAAATCCGGCAAAATTTCAACTAACGCATTCCGCGTTTTAGGTCTAAATCAGGAAAGGGGAAAAAATGACAACTTTAAACGATGCAGTCGAATATCAGCTCCAGACACGTCTAACTTACGCCTCCGAAGCCAATCGAGAAACACCACAGAACACAAATAAAACACATGAAACTGGGCGAGGAGTCACAATTACGTGGCTGAAGTATGTTGACCAATCCACACACTAGAAAATGAAGGGACAACGACGTTTCGGTCCGTCCTGGACCATTCTCAAGTCGACTGAGAATAGTCCAGGACAGACCGAAACGTCGTCGTCCCTTCATTTTCTAGTGTGTGGTCTGGTCAACAATCCACATTAAACTGGGCTTCCACTTCAGCACAATGTACAGAAGCATGAAGGGAGGACGAATGACCCTATGACATTGAGCATCGCACAGTTAACCATGTGAGCCATCGAAGTAACAATTAACATAGATGAAACCCACCTAGTTCCCCCCTCCCTCCCCAGTCGCACCCTCAGCTCCCAACACGAGGGCGAGGCTGGTTGAGAGGCGGGACCAAAGAGCCGAAGCTCAACTCCCGCAGCACAACTAGGGGACTACACGAACCCTTGAACACCGTTCACATTACCAGGAACAGGCGCATCCAAACTGACCAAGGCATCACACAAGTCGTATTCATTATCTTTCCTGAGGCCCAGTCACGTGGCTTGGACGGTAGAGCGACGGTCTTGCGTCATGTAGGTCGGCGTTCAATCCCCGACCAGTCAAAATGGTTGGACACCATTCCTTTAACCCCCCGTCCCATCCCAAATCCTAATCCTGATCCCTTTCAAGGGTCATATAGTCGTAATGGCTTGGCCCTTTCTTCTCATAGTCCACTTTTCCTTGCTGTTCCGAGTACAGTGGTAAGTGTTGAAGTACAGAGTGTCTTAGTTTCACATAGTGTCCCCAAGGTTCCAAGGGGTTGTCATAGCCAGGGGTGGTAATGGGGGACGAGCTTCCATGACCTATAAAATGCTCCTATACGGCATGCGTCTCTACTAGCCTCTGACAACCAAGTCCAACTCCTGGCCTGCACGGGTGGCTTAGTCTAAGTCCGGCGGAACTGCTTTTACCGACAGGAGAAGGGGCGAGGGCGTGCCTCTGGCGCCTTAAAACCAGCTGCTCCGGGTAGATGGGACTCGATAGCCTGGGAAGGCAGCCCATCTAGGCGAAGGAAAATCCTGATTTTAAACCTCCGCTGCCTTGCGGCCATACCCTGTTTTGGGAAAGGCTTCAGGAGTCAACCTCGAGGAAAAATCCGGAGTTGGAGCCCCTAAGGCAGTTCGTTGTTGACGTCGACCTCGTTCTGGCAGCTCCTGCGACGTTGCTGGAACCATGTGTATTGGCATTTGCCTTTCTATTGGATAATTTCAGTAACGTGGAGAGGGGGGGACCTGCTGCATGGGTAACAGCTTCTCCTCCATATCTACCTACCCAGGCTTTGCGCCCTGGAAAGGGCACTCCAGCTTCGCCTCACAGCGTCGAACCAAACTCCATAGTCTCCCGAGACTGAAGGATGCCTACTATAGTGTCCCCAATAAGATCTATAAAGGTTCTAAATTATTAGGAGACGTCGTGATAAGTTTCATCATGTGTCTCCTAATTACGCAGCACTTACTTTCAACACTCTAGTATCATTCGATTTGTAACTGTGTGTGTGTGTGTGTGTGTGTGTGTGTGTGTGTGTGTGTGTGTGTGTGTGTGTGTGTGTGTGTGTGTGTGTGTGTGTGTGTGTGTGTGTGTGTGTGTGTGTGTGTGTGTGTGTGTGTGTGTGTGTGTGTTAAACATCAGTAGGAACGCAATAATTGATCTATAATCTTAGCACTACCTTAAACTCCTCCCAGGAGGTGTTAGCGGCCGCCAGAACCAAGCCACACAGGAGCAAGACCGCGACCTTCATCTGAAGCGGAATACAAAAAAAACAAAGGAATTCCAACGAATTTTGATTAAAACTTTATCTTTGATTCTGTGTTATAAATTTATCGATAAAACTAAACTAATACGGGTTTCGTAAACTGGTTATTTACATGAAACTGAAAGATTAATCTACGAACGCTTATTTGATTCTATGTTAGATATTGAAGAAAGCTTTGTATGGAAATAGCAGCAAGGCTCACCATGGTTGAAAGTCTATTGAAGGACGTTGCAGTATATATATACTTAGTAGAGCCCGTGGGAGGCAGTTCACCTGCTGTTGCCTCTACTGTCTGTTGCCTCTCACGGTGCCTGGCACTGCCACGCGCTTCTGCACCCTCCCCCCCCCTCCCCATATCCCCCCCCCTATTATCTATAAGGCTTACGTAACTATGCTTTACTTATCGATGACTCTAGGGAAGTGAGATATGAATCTTTATGCTCCGCCTGTAAGCCTTTCTTTGTACCTATTGTCTTATTTGTTTTAATTTTCTTAATGCTGGAGTTTCCTTGTCGTATTTGCTCCTGAAGTTGGGGGATGGAGGTGGCTTCCACAACTTCTTAATTCACTGCATTCTACTTACTGACCACTCGTAGAGAGTACAAGTATTTCCATACTTTCGTTCGAATTAATTGGCTTTCAATCTTTCACGTATATCCGCTTATTCTATTTTCTTTCAATTTAAATACACTGTTCCTGTTCCCCCTATCTATTTTCCTCGGCATTTTGTGTGCGTTAATATCCACATGGGAAAAACGAAACGAAAATTCCGAGCACTTTCGTGTTTCAAAAATTTTCAAGAAAATCAAAAGATAGAAAAGACATGGGTTTAGTGTTATATGTCCCCAACACGAGAGTAGATTAATAAAAGGCATAAACATAATATCGAATAATGGAAGGGACACGATTGATTTGGAAAAGGCCATCCCCTTATTCTTGGAATAAGCCAATTTCACAACTGTATCTATTCTTTACATAATTGTACACATATCGCGAATCTCACTGATTATAAAGCTATCTAATTTATACAATCCTGGACTGACATAATATGTTATCTAAGATACTACTTTTATAAATGAAGATTCAATAATATTTCTTTCGCAGACGGATTTATATACAACAATTTCGAATGAATTTGTCTATTAATTTTGGAATTTCATTCAAATGGCAGAATTATTGCATTCTTAGGACTCTGCTTTCTTTTCCAAACTAAAGAAAGCCTTATGAGTAATTTGGCTGGCTTTATCAATAAATGACTTAGGGTATTTATATTGAAATCTAAACTATATATGACACTAATTTTATCATATATAAACCTAAGACTACATACCCCTAGAGCCCTCGAAATCATTGAAGAAACTACTGCTTAGTTAACTTTGATGATGAGATTAACACAAGTGTACATAACACCCCAACATTTGTTGGTTTTCCATATACAAAAAACTTGAAATTATTTTCACATTTTTTAATTAACACAACTCAAGAGTAGTAATTTACAATTTCTATCTTTTTTATGCACCCGCCATACCCATCTTGTGGGAGGTGGTGGACAGGGTTACAGAGGCACATAATGGGTTCAGGAACTGAATCACATAGTTCATTTAGCTAAGCAAGTGACAATCACTTGAAGCTAATTACACAATTGTCAAGGGTATATATGCATGTACATATATATACAATAATTTACACATATACATATATACATATCGATAATCTTTCTGTATCACAAGGGGTTAAACCAAAGGCTCACAACAGTCACTATATAAGGCACTTTACATCCATGGTGAGTCATACAGTTACTAGTCTTGCTCCACACCCACCCAACTGGGCGGCAGCTTTACAGTCATGTGCTCCACACCCACCCAACTGGGTGGCAGCTTTACAGTCATGTGCTCCACACCCACCCAACTGGGTGGCAGCTTTACAGTCATGTGCTCCACACCCACCCAACTGGGCGGCAGCTTTACAGTCATGTGCTGCACACCCACCCAACTGGGTGGCAGCTTTACAGTCATGTGCTGCACACCCACCCAACTGGGTGGCAGCTTTACAGTCATGTGCAGGCTGCACTTACAGTAAGCACATTTTGGATATTTCGCTAAGATTCCCGGCAGTATATCATAATAAAGTACTTACACATTTCTTGGATTGATGGTGTTATCTCTGAATTCCGCGATATTTTCACATTCCATTATATAATGACGCAAAGTATGCGAATAGTTCTGCTGACAGAGTTTACATTTAGTTAAATCTTCATAATGGTATTAAAGAATTGTTTTCCTCAATTTCCTTTTAAATTAATTATTTAGATATTTAATATAAATAAAAAAAATCAAGATTTCTTCTCGTAAGTCATAAGCAAATGACATCATCAATATAGTTAAACCATGTGACAATAGAAGGCAAAATTCTATATAATAGTTTTGTTCCAAATAATCCTATATATATAAATTACTTAAAACCAGAGTAAGAGAGTAAGAATTACCCATAGCAATTCTAATTTTTTTAGTAGGATTCCTTGTTAAATACAAAATTAGAGTTAATAACACACAGTTTATCAATTCAATTAACGAAGGTACTGGAAAAGGCAAATCATTCTTTAACAGTTCATCAAATACAAATTTTATTAGGTCACCAACCAGAACTTCAGTGAATAAAGAAGTTACATCATAGCTAACCGTTTTATAATTACAGAGGTCTTTATTATCACATATTATATCAAATAAATTAGCATTATTCTTTATATCTGAATGAGAAACATTACCAACAATTTGATTTAAAACTTGCAACAGTCTTTTTGAAAGTTTATATGATAACAGAACTCATTGAACTAATTATTGGCTTGATCTGATTATTTGGTTCATATGTTTTAACGGGGGCCACACACATAAGATAATGATGGAGTTATTGTCATAAATTTTGTAATTATCACATTACTTTTGAAATTTATATTATTTTTTGTTTAATCTGTTATCAATAACATCGAATTTTGTATATGTATCAGAATAACTTAATAACACGTTCAATATGTCTATATAGTATTTTTTTCAGAATTAAATTTGCATTAGATTTGTCGGCTTAGGTAACATGCAATTATTAATTTTTCTTTAGGTGTCCAAAAGCTTTAAAAAATCATTGTGAACAGTTTGGCAATATAGATTTCGACATTGCACTATGCACCAAACTTTTGCATACATTAATACCTCCAATTGGCAAATCATTGTTGCTTTTTTCAAATTACAAAAAGCATTAGCTATTTCACTCATTATATTTCTTGTAGCACTGAAGTTCAGGCCCTAACCAGGAGCAGTAGTGATGTTTTTGGCCAAGAGTGTATCAAACAAATTTATCACAAAATTGCTATTAGTATGTATAGTGCAATAGCTAATTTCTATTAAATTATCCAGTTTATAATTAAGTTTTCTTTGTAGATCATTGCTCACATTTCTTAATTTCTGATAACAATGATACCATTCGAATTTTCGGTTGCATATATGCATGGGGGACCATTCAGGCTTGTTCGCATTTGTGTTTCTCACGTGTGCCCCAAAGAATGAGGTGATTTGATAAAATACTATGCACAAGATTACCATCAGAGCGCCGGCGGCGGTGATGGGGAAATAGCCTCGGCTACCATCATCTTTTGTCCAGTTGTGATGGTCGAGTGGTTAAGGTGTCCTGTACACTAGTTGCATAGTGCTCCTAGCAGTATGGGTTCGAATCACTTCAGAGGTGTGAGTTTTCGGTTGCATATATGCCTAGGGACCATTCAGGCTTCTTTGCATAATATTATATATATATATATATATATATATATATATATATATATATATATATATATATATATATATATATATATATATATATATATATATATATATATATATATATATATACTGAAAACTCATACCCCAGAAGTGACTCGAACCCATACTCCCAGGAGCAACGCAACTGGTAACTACAGGACGCCTTAATCCGCTGGACCATTACGACCGGACAAAAGGAAGTGATAGCTGAAGCTATTTGAACCATATATACACCAAAAAAACTGTTTAAATATTTTGCCTCGATTATATCTGCGAACCAATATTTCACTCTTTAATATAACAAACCAAAGATTGGAAGTAGATTAACGACGCAGTAGACAATATAATCTGCGACGGGTGACTATGACATTTGATCCCAGTATCAAAAATAATCTCAAGAAACACACTGTCAGTCAAACACACAGTACGTCTCCCATTGGTAAATATATTCTCAATGTATAAACTTTGATATAAGGCGAGAGAAAGTATTCTGCATATGAGACATTAGCAGCAGCTGACAGCATATTGTAAATTATTACATTTTCTGTGAAAATTTAATTAATATGCTTGTTGTATATAAATGAAGAATTAGACAGGATTTAACTGTGTAAATTTCTATAGTCTGCGTAAATGTTGAGATATTCTTTATGAATCAGTCACAATATGCGATGCCAGGAAAGAAAAAGATTGTTGTAAATCACTGTTCTGAACGGCGCAGGTATCGTTAGTATGAGTTTTGTGCAAGGGTAAATAGGCACATTTCATTACTATTACCAATTTTATCACATAAAATTTGGGAAAAAAAGTTATAACACCTCACGAGTTAGAGCTAAACTTGTATATATAACTTTTTTTGTAAAACATTTCCCATCTATATCAGGAATTAAAAAGTCGATTGAATTAAGATTCTGAACGGTCTTTATTGTTCAATAACAGCATTACAGCTCCAAAATAATGCCACCACCTGAACATTGTCTTAAGGTGGCAGTCAGTCGGGAAGTTGCCACATCTAGACTGTTGGGTAGCAAGCATCTGTGGCAATACCACAGTTGTTGCTCCTGTTGCGAGCCATCTTAATGTAGCCGCTGATGCCCCAGCCGGTGCCCCAAGAGTTCTTGACGAGCCAGTAGTCCTCTCCGCCCTCAGTACCGTAGCCAATAGCCAGCACACCGTGATCCAGAACCAGCTGAGAGCAGCTGGACTCATAGTACACACCTGAGATGTAAAGTAAACCATTTTAACGTGTTGTTAAGCAAGTTTACCTGTTGAATTATGTCTATCACAATCATGCATCTGATTTTTGTAGGATAATTCAGACTTACTAATCCCAGCATTGAGAAAATCGCAGAATATTGCAATACTATATACCAATCTTTTCCTAAAAGAAGAGACATGTTGAGCATTATAGAATTGTTATACACACTTTCATCCAATTGCAAACTGCAATGTAACATCCTGGATTGCCAGAGTTTGCTGTGTGTTCTCACCAGAGTTGTAGAGCTGGAATGAGAGGTGTGAGGCGTCGATGGCCACAGAGATGGGT